GCAACGGTGTTTGTGCTGGGGTATGCGTACGTGCAATACCCTATCTGCCTTTGAAGTGCATCGTCAGGAACGGAGGTTTTTTCTTAGGTCAAAGTTTTGGGATTCTGATTGGCATTAAACAACAGACCTCGGTATAGCTTTGTCCTGCAAGCAAATTCTCAAACAAGCTGTCTGTGCAAGGGAAATCGGTTCTTAGTAGACTCGCAACGAAATCAGTCATTGTAGCTACTGCAAGGGGTTGCTTCAGTCGTTTTGTCTTGTGAGAAATAAGAATTCTGATAAATTGGGATAAAACCTCCCAGAAACCTCCTCTAACTTATCCAGCACTTAACCAGCTCAGCTTTCACAGTTTGTCTGAGTAAATTGGTGGTTGAGGGTCAAGATATTAAAAGTGCATTTTTAAAGCTAAAGATCTGGTCCCGAGTGCCCTGCTGAGGGCTGCCCCACCGCTCCGAGGAGAGGCCTGCGAGTCCTGCGCTCAAAACCTTGCACGATCAGCAAGGGAAACTTGTTCCTGGAAAGCTCTCTCCGATGGAGCAAAGCCCCTTGGGTGTCCAGTCTCCAAAACCAGAGACAGCGCTCAGCCGCAGCTCTGCGAGGAGCAGAGGCCAGCTCAGACTGTAGGTGTCACCTTTGAACAGGGGCAAAATTCACTGTTCAGCTGATTGCTGCCTCCTTTCCAGCTCGGTGTATGTGTGTATACAACAATCAGAAGCACAAGGGCACAGAGCATCCTTCAAAGTGAAGGGGACTATCACTTACCCTTGGCTTTTATTCTCAATGACATTCTTTTCTGCAGTCGTAACCTTGTACGTAACCCCTCAAAGCCACAGAGTACGTGGTCACCGCGAAGGCTTCCACCACCAGTTGCTTTGGCAAGTTAGAACTAGTCTGGAAAAGAAAAGTGACGGCTCCAGCAGCAAGGCAGGGATCAGAGCACTTCCAGCCCCATCCCTACTTGCTGCAGGACGACCATCCTTTTGGGAGCAGCGCTGGCGAGGCCGGGGCGAGGGGAGCTGGTGCTTCTTAGCACGCCTGGGAGCAACAGCCCTAGTCGCTGTGCTTCAGGTCTCGTGCCTCTGACACAGGCTGAAGGTTCCCACCTTGCTTCACCACGTAGAAACACGGTCATCAGCCTTTGCTGGGTGCTTTGAAGCCCTCAACATGGGGAGCTTTGGTGTTATTAGCTGGGAGATGCGATGGCCCAGTAAAGCGTGAAGTCAGCCAGCAGCAGCTGATCCCCAGTGACTCCCAACACTTCCCAAGTGATTGTGCTGGGTGAAACCACCAAAGGCACGCATCAAACTAAAGGCTCAAAATGCTGCTGCAGTCTCCACTTGACTTTGGAAGCAACGGAGGGAAGATATCGGTTGTGGAGCGTTTGGTTCTGAAACCCTTTGGGGTAATGGGTGGACACAGCCTCGGCAAGGCAGGAGTTCATTCCCTGCCTTCTGGTAACGTTAGAGACACTGGAACGGCTTAAAGATGCTCTTGGGGGCTCAGGACTAAATTGCAGCTTCGTTAATAGCTCTTGGCTCTTGCATCATTACCGGTGACACAGCTGTCTGAGGGCTGCGGAGCAGAACGGCACGTTCCTCCCTTCGCTCCGGGGGCTGCGGGGCTGCAGAAGCAGCAGCAGCCTCAGGTCACCGCCCGCAGCCCCCCGGGCTCCCGTTGCGAGGGGCACAGAAGCCCCAGGAGAGATCTCCCCATCTCTGCTCACGGGCAGCAGCGCGACTGGCACCGGCGATGTCCCTGTTTGCCTAGGAAGGCAGCTCCTGCCCCGGCCTGCCCCGGTGTCCTTAGTGCCGACGGGAGCTTCACGCGTGGACAAACCGAGGTGCTCTCCCCCAGACACGATCCCTCTGACGTTCCTGCCACAAGCTGAGAGCTGTTTCTCAAGGGAAACGGTAAAAGTCACGTTGGGTAGGCAAAGCTGATCCAAACCCGCGAAGGATTTCCCATAGCAATTTTGAAAACAGGTTTTCCCTCCCTCCCCAGGTAAATTATGCAGGCTTTTTATCTTCCAAATCAGGGACAACAAACAGATCTCAAGTTCAGATTTTTTTTTCTTTGACTTTCTTTACAGCTTGATATTTATCAACTATTTATTTTTAAAGGAAAACACTTTCATTGGTAAAAAAGGGTAACTTCCCACTTAAAGGGAGGAGGGAAAGTTCAATGGAAAATTTGCAGCCATTTCTACTAAAGCCATTTCAACTAGACAGAACAAAGTGCTCGAAAATAGCACTACGTATCCCCCGGGCTTCGTCCAACCTACTTTCCGATGGTTCCTGAGACGAGGTGCCACAACTCCCATCAGGAAGCTGCTCCAGAGCCCAGCACATGGTGGTTTCACAGCCTCCCCGCAGCCCGGGCGGGCAGGAGGGCACGTGCTGCGGTGTGATTTGTATTCCTGGCCTGCGCAGATGCCGGATAACTTCCATAGCTGTGGCACTGGCACAAGTAAATTAGCCCCCCCCACACCCTTAACAAATCCCCATCATTGCCAGCTCTCACGGTACAAAGAATGAATGCCAGCTCCTTCTCAATTAATTACGGTGCCATCAAGAAATGCTAGGTGACTTATAAGACTTAAAAATCATCGCCTCGCCACTCAGAAGAATGGGAATGATTAGGAAGGAAAGTCTAGAGCTAGGGTTTTTTCGCCCCCCTGATCCATTTTCAAATGCCCAACACAGGGACCGCAGATCCCCGGGGTGCCTGGAGGTGCCCCTGGTTTCCTCGCACAGAGCGCACGCACCTTGCGTTCAGCCGGGCAGGACTAAGCAGGCTGACCCAGGGCTATTTTCACTGACATGGCATTGTTCCACAGGGAAGCTTTAAGCCGGTATAAATCATACCTCCCACAATAAGCACCTTAAATGAGAAGCAGGACCTTTGTATCTGTTGCTTTTATGTATCACACCAGCCTTTTTCATGCTTTCCCGTAGCATTCATGGGGTGAATGTTTGGAGCATTTCATTCCCTGAACAGCAGAGCCATCCTAAAACTCCAAATTTCATTATTTTGCCTTCAGAAATGGCGGCCTGGGACATGAAAAAAACCGCAGTGGCAATCCACCATAAATGCCAAAGCCAGTTCCCATTACTCCATATTCTTATTTTAGGCTTTATGCGGTGCACAGGCAGACGCACCCCCAGGCTGCAGAGCGAGCCCCGAGCCAGCCCTCTGAGGGGGATGCCCAGGCCAGCCCCCAGCCCCTCGCACAGCTGGGTCTGGCCCCTCAAGCAGGGGGCAACCACAGGAGAACACCATTTCTGGGATTTCTACTTATTTATATGCCGGTTAGGTGCTGCAGCTGCCTCTAAGCACCCTGCCTGTGCACCACCAGCATCACAAGTTGGGGTACCCGCCCAGCCCCCTCCCAGCGCACCCCACGCCGGCTGCAGGAGAGGAACGGCAGCATCGGAGCTCCCCAAACCGGTGGCACTGGCCTGCCTCGGGGACATTGCAGCCGAGACATCCCCCGTGGAAGCCAGGCCGATGGCTAGCTGCTGGGCTTGCAGGGGGGGCAGCAAGGCAGAGCCCCGCCATGCAGCACCCCCAGAGGCAGAGCAGCTCCAGCCCCTCGTGGGGGGCTCTCGTTCCCCACAGATCCCGTGGCAGCCGTGGCTACGCGAGAGGTGTCAGCGGAGCTGCCAAGTCGCCAACGGGAAGGGTCACGCCGGTGCCAGGAGCCACAGCCGGTGAGGGTGGGCTGGGGCTGGCCGTGGGGCGATGCCGCAGCAGCGGGGCACAGCAGCAGACACCCCAAACCCATTAGTTCTGGACCCTCCCTGCACCCCCTCTTTCATAAAACAGTAGGAATACGGAGACCTGACTTTAAGAATTTCACAAATTTGGCTTTGGCAAGAACAAAGCTTTGAACTCGGGGCACTGCCAAGATTGCTTTCTGTGGAATCAAGCTTAAATGCAGCTTGATTCGATTTTGGTTGCGGGAATTATCTTAAAATGTACTACGTTACCAAGCTGGGTGTGCCGTAAACACGAGCCAAAGCACTCGCTTAGTTCTGAAGTTTCTATAGAAAACAAACTGAAGTCGGACGCGGACGAAAGAGGGAATGGAAGCAGCTTCCCAGGGACAGGACGGTGCATGCCGTCCCTCAGGCTTGCTGGCAAAACGTCTTCCCCACCGTCACCTCGGTTTGCTGTAGCTTCCCCTCCTCCTGGGCTGGGTACGGGGAGGAAGGACGGATTCCGCATCCATATGAAACGGTATTTCCCAGGATTAAGGGTTCCTTCAGGGGTTTATTTTTATCTCCTCGGCGCAGCGGCACAGGTAGGCAGCTCGCGCGGCTGCTTTGCCGAAGCCATTAATTAACACGTGGTGATGGACCCCCAACACGGGCTGAGCTGCCCGGCGCAGGGCTTACAGCAGCTCTTGTCTGCCAGGCGAATTACCAGGGAAGACGTTTCTTCTTCTGGAAGACAACATGACTCTCCTCGCCGCGTAGCACTGATCGGGTTAGACGGAGCGTGTTGTATTTTTCATGTGTTAGATCTCTTGCTGCCGTTACTGCTTTGTAATACGCGGCTTGTCAAGTGAGAGCCAAAATCGTCTCTGGTGCAACTCCCACCTGGGGACTGCGGGGAGCAATCCTGTCCCAGGTGTAATCCTGTAATATTTCCTAGGGCCAAATTCAAAATAGAAATGATCCATTCCGATGCCAGGGTCCATGCAGCAGCATTTTCTACTCATGCAGTCCCTGAGCCTCCCAGTCCGGCTCCAGAACGGGAACCGGCCCCAAGAGGTGCTGGGACGGTGGGATGGCTTGGGGGCCATTCCCCGGGGATCTTCTGAGCAGAGCTGCTTCGCCCACAGCCACGTCCCCAGGGAAGGGGCAGAGGAGAGCACCCACCCGCCTCCCTACCCGGCACCCGGCAGGCTCTGCCCCTCGCAAGGGCTCCGGGGCGCGGGCTCACCAGCCCGCTGTGCTGCTCTAGGTCTGATCACAAGCCATCTCCGCTCCCTGCAGGCCTGGACTGTGAACTTGGTTGCGATGGAGACCATGTCCCTGGAGCACCAGATCCAGAGCGTGCAGCGGCACATCGCTTTTCTGAAGAAGGAGCAGATGGAGCTGCTCCACGACCTGCACCTGGAGATCCTCCGCTTGCAGAAACACTGCTCAGGTGAGCGTTGGGGTGGCCGTGGCGTGTGGGAGCTGCATGCCCACGGAGCACGTTGGGCAGGAAAGCTTCTGCTGGCGCCCCGGGTCCCGGGGCCAGTCCCGCACGGGAGCTCTCACTGGCGTTCGGCAGGACGCAGAGGAGGAGAGCGCCAAGCCACAGGGGATCCTGCTCGGTGTGGGATCAGGGGAGCTCCATCCCCTTCAGGCTCCCGCTTGCACCCAGGTGCCACCAGCCCCTCCCTGGACCGTGCTACGTGGCCACCCAGTCTGGTGTGGGTCAAACCCTCTGCCATCGCTCCTCTGCGAACGGGTACCAGCAGCTTCCTCCAGCTGCAACACTGAAGAACCAGAGCGATTTTTTTTCTGGGCATCAGCTGGCCGGGCGGCTGATAAGACAGGAGGCTGTGTTGATAATCCACCATTAAAACCTTCTCCTTTTGTTTTCATGCTATGCTCGGGGCACACTTCTGAACGAGGATTAGCCCCGGTAGCGCAGCACTCTCCCCGGCTGCATGCTCCTGCACCTTGCAGTAGTTTGGCTGCAGGAGTCACAACCCCAAGGGATTCGCTGGTGTAAGGAAAGGGAAGAACCCAGCATTAGCCAGCAAGGTGGCCCTGCCTTTTCCTCCTGTGATCTGTGCCCGCAAAGGTATTTTGATCATTAAAACGTGAAAGTAGTTCATCATTTCTCCCAGATGCCAGTGGGCTAAAGGGAGAGAAGAGAGTTGAACGCCGTCAGTAATGGGAGCATATGAGACCGCTTTCAGAATGGGAGGAAATGTGATTTTCTTGTCTATGTTTTGTTGCTCTCTATTCTCTTGCACACAGAGAGGTGAAATCCGTTCCCTTGCTGCTGGCCCAGCCCAGAGCCGTCTGGCTCTAGCGCCGGTGTTGGTACCCCCGTGCCGTGCTTTACTGCTGCGGCACTGAATGAGCACTAACGCCAGCAGCATTGGCACGTCTCTTCCCCCGCCACAGGTTGCTCCCTGCTCTGGAGGGAGGGTCCCTGCCAGGCATCCTCAGCAGCCCCTCGCCCAGGGGCTGCAGCCTCCCAGCCTTTCCCAAGCTCGGGGGCTGTCACCGGGAGCCTGGCCCCTTGGGAAGGGGGCAAGTGGCTCCCCAGGGTCACGGCAGACCCTGCAGCAGCCGGACGGGGTCTGCCCATCTCCAGTCCCCAGGAAACGCAGCCACGAGCCCGGTGCAGGGCTCGGGGACCTGCCCCGGCTGCGGGACACACAGCCACCAGCCTCCAGCCCGTGGCCCCGCTGTGGCAATGTCGCCCTCCCCTTCAGCCAGCCTTGCAAGAGCAACGCCTCCCCAGCCTCCTGCCCGCCACCGAAACTCATTCCAACTTGTGCCATCGCTCTCATCAATAATTCAGCCATAGCTAATTATTTCTTGTCTTCCAGCCTCTCGTCTTCCCTGATTCCTGGGAAACAAAGACATTTCTGCATTGATGGAATTGTGTATTTTGCCCTGTCCTTTCCGAGATTTTGCTGTTCTCATTGTTTTCTTTTAATGGCTTCATCCACAGCCTCTCCAGATAGGCGAGACAGCAGAGTTCTCGTGCCTAAAGCAGGCTGGGGGGTTCTGAGTCCCCAGGGGCAGAAATGAGCCCGTTGCACAGCTGGTTAGCAGCGATCTCCTTCTGTGCGGCTGAACCACGGCACCGTTTGACCGGACAAGTCACATCCTCATCTGCGAGGGGTGTGATTCTGCAACGCCTTCCCATTAGGAGCCAAGGGGGCAAAGCCCCTGCTTAGTTTTAAGATGACTTTGCTGACGGTTTGAATGCCATTGCCTGGTGGGGCTGTTTGCAAGAGGAAAGCGGAGTCGGTCAGTCAGCACTTCCCCCGTTCAGGCCCTGCGCCGGCTGCCCTGGAGCTGTTGTTTCAGACCTTAATTTTGCACCATCCCCTCGGTCTCCCCAAGGCATCACCGCTGGAAATGCCCACCCTCCTGCAGAGCTCTGTTTCTCAGCTGCCACCTACTCAGCCCTGAGAAGCTCCATCTGCCTGCAGCGGCAGCAGCAGCAGCAGTTTCCAGGTGCCAGAGCCCTCGTCGATGGAGGGACCGTCTGCTCTGAGGGGGAGCCGAGCCGGCTGTGTGCGGGGGAAGGCACGCAGCAAGCCAGTGCCTTTGGATCCAGGCTGGATCCAGCAGCAGAACATCCGTGTTCAGAAGGGACCTTATTCAAGTAAATAAATCCCCAGGTTTGCTGCCTCGGGACCCAAAGCAGTTCCCGCTGGCTGCGCCCAGCATCCCAGGAGCCTCCAACACCAATGGCTGCTACTGGCCCAGAAGCAAGGGCTGAAAGCGGGATGGAGCCTCCGTGTGCTCAGCCCCCGCGAGCCCCTGACACCCGGCAGCCCTGTGCCCCTCGCCGCAGCCTGGCAGGAGGAGGGGGCGGCTGCTTTGGGCAAATCCCACAGCCCTCGCGGCAGCACTGGCCCCAGCAAACCCCTGCAGCCCAGCATTCCCAGTCCGAGGCTTTACAGGAAGGTAACGCAGCCCAGAGCCACGTGCTGTGATTCATTTATTGGAACGAGCCTTGCGTAACAGCGGAGAGTTGGCTTCCCTCCCACTCCCGTTTTATTTGCAAGGTATAAACACAGCAGAAATAGCAATAGATTCCTCTGGCTCTTCTGTTTCTCCTTTTACTGGAAGATGAGCTCAAGCCTTGTGGCAATAATTAGCCTGCTCAGTGGTGTTAGCGGAGTGACGGAGGGAAGGCTGGTGCCGGGAGCAGAGCCGGGCTGGGGGGGAATCCCTGCAGGCGATAGCAAAGCTGGCCGGATGGGCTGTGCCGACGGTCCCTCCGCACCCTCACACATCGCAGCATCAGGACAGTCCTCCCAGGCAGCAAAGGGGGAAGCCCGATGTGTTGAGAGAAGCCATGTCTTAAATAAACCCATTTCTAGCTTGCCTGTGAGCGTTTAGCCGCCCTGAGGGGCACACGGCCGCCTCGAAGAGGGTCACGGGCCCTTGGACAGCCGGGGCTGGGGCTGCGGGGTGGACCCGTGCGTCCTAGCCCATGGCAGGGACCGTGGCTCCCGACCTCCTCAGCTGCCTCCTGCACCAGGCAAGTTGAAGTGCATCACCAGGCCGTGCCCCCGTCCCCTGCCCTGTGCAGGGGTCACCCGGAGGCACCGGGGCTGAGTGGGAGAGCTGCTGGGAGCCGGCTGCAGCCAGGGCTGGCAGCACGGGAGGTGGGATATGGAAGTGCAGAGCAGCTGGATCCGTCCCGCAGAGGCCAGGACCGCCTGGGAGCCCTGCGGGGTGCTCTCCCCTGGATTTGCCCCTCGGGGGTCGTGGGGACGGTGGTGGGGCAGGTTCCCACCAGCCCCCGTGGCTCCAGCGCAGAAGCTGGGACCCTGGGTCGTGCATCATCCCCGAGCCCTGCCCGCGCTCCACAGGGCAATGTCTTCTTTGGAAATGGGTGACTGCTTTAGTTTTCATTTGAAATATATCTGAGACTCCAAACCTATTATTTTAGCTTCAGAAAAATAACACAGTTGCCATTGATTTCCAATGGGGCAGTCAGGAGCGCTGAAAGCTTTCCAGAAACTGCATTACATTCTCGGTTACTTCTGCCTTCTCACTACAGATTTGTTTTCCAAGACAGACGGGCACAGCAGCCCGAGCCAAGCATTTCGTTTCAGAAGGATGGCAGTGATGAGGATTAGAGTCAACATGAAAGCAGATTAAAAGAAAAATGTAGGGCAAAGATTAACCATTTGAACTCATTTTCGGGGGAAGAAAAGCCTCAAAACAACCACATGCTGCTGCTGCCCCTCTCCTCTCAGGAGGAGAGGTTTGGTGGCTGCTGGCGGTTTGGTGGGCTGTGATAATTAACTCAAAAGAGATTGTCTGTAAAGGTGTGCAGGTCAAAGTGAACTCCAGAAAGTCCCTGAGCTCCCTCCCTCCCTGCCCTTTGTGAGCTGGGTTTGTAGCCCTGGGCTTGGCAGAGAGCAGGCAGAGTGCAGGCAGCAAGCAGGCAGCGCAGGCAGCATGTCAGGGCTGAGCAGGCAGGCAGGGGCTGCAGCCCTGCAATGGGCTCATCCCCGCAGGACGCTGCCCTCGCTGCTGCTGCTGCTGCTGCTGCTCCCGGGTGCAGCGTGGGCGTGGGGCAGCTCTGCCTGCAGCTGCCTGCACCCAGACCCCAGACCCCGCTACCCTGTCCTGGGCCCACTGCAGCGGGAGATGGGACAGCCGCAGGGACACTTTGCAATGCCCAGGGTCTGCAGCCGCTCTCCCGCGGTGGGACGCCTGTATCCAGCAGCCCTGAGGAGCCTCCCTCGGGAAGCTGGGGCCACATCCCGCAAACAGCAGCTCCTCTGCAGCACTGCGGCTGCCTTGCCCCCCTCTGCCCGGGGAGATGCCTGCAGCATCCCGGCTGCGCTCAATGCCAGGCTGAGAGAGGATTTTGAAGGCACACGTGGCCCCCGGAGCAGGGCAGCATCCTTCTGCGGGCACATCGCGCAGGGATGAGGCTGTCCCGCTTGCATCACGTGCAGAGGCAGAGATCGGCCTGGAAGGAGTAAATTATGAAATACTTGGGGTGGCAGCTTACACTTTAGTCTATTTTCAGTCCATTGCTCTGCTCTTTGTCCTGCTTTAAAGCACTGAAAATGGTTCAGCAACAATCTTAGAAAAAGCAAAGGCGTTGCTGGAGAAATGGAAGCTCTCCCCGCGCCGTGGGGCAGGACCTGCAGACACTGCCTTGGCCGTGTCACAGAGGCGAGCGCCGTGGCAGATGCCAGATCCCAAGGCTGCTTAATAACGTATAAATTGCCAGAATGGTCTATTTTTGGCTCAGCCTGTGGCTGGTGCTCCAAGATGGCCACGCTCACACTGTGGGCAGGGCAGAGCAAGTGCCACAGCCGCGGGGATTGCCAGTGCCTCGGCAGCCCCATCAGGGAGCAGGGGGAGACACGGGGAGCGCGCGGGACCAGTGGGATGCTCCTTCTCATTCCCGTTTGATTTCTCTTCCAGAGCTCACCCATGACCTGGAAATAAAAGAGCTGGAAGCCCGCCAGCAAGGTAAGAGCATGGGTTGTGCATGAGATAAGGGGGAGCGTGTGTGGGTGCGGGGGGCCACCCGAAGAGCCCGCGGCTGGAGGGGGCCCATCGGGGCCGCCCAGGGAGGGGACATGGCCCTCGTCTGCAGGGAACAGTCGGCCTGAGGGCAGAGCTGTGGCTGGGAAGTCAGGGTGCGTGTTCACAGGCTGTTGGCAGCCCGGTTAAATGCCTGGGCAGCCACCTAGGAAGGCTTTGCATGTGAAAGCCAGCATCCCTGGGCTGGCTTTGCTAAAGCCCTGACACAGACACCCGGGAGCAGCTCACAGACCCCCAGGGCAGGACTCAAAGCCTGCAAACCCTTCAGCCGCAGGGAAAAGCCAACAAGGACATTATCAGCTTCCCCTCAAGCTCAGCTCGCCGATTGCAAACCGGACGCCGATTCAGAAAATCTCCTGGCACTCTTGGTTCATTAAACAGTCAGTTTTGCCCACAGCATAATCTTTCACATTCCAAAATAAGGGGGAGAAAAGTCTTGGTGCATGAGAAATGTCTGCAAGCTCCAGGCACCATCCCAGGCCTGGGACCAGCAGCAGAGAGCTGCTCAAAAGGCATTTCACAACGTGCTGTCCCCTCGGGCCACCCGGCCCCGTGTCCTGCAGCCCCTCCCGGGGCAGCCCTGGAGCCCTGGCAAAGCGCTTCTCCAGCCCAAAGGCAGCTTCATCCACCCAGGACAGGCAAACGGGACTGGAGGTAACTGGAAACCCACAGGCAATTCCCCCATCGCGAGGCTGCGCCACAGGCAGGACATCTCCTGCCAGACCAGCGTGGCACAGGGCTCTGGCATCTCGCGGTGCTGGCAAGCAGCGGGCTGGCCCCCGCGACCTGATGGCTGAGGGCAGGTTTTCAAACGAAAGGGAGCTGGCACTGAGCTTACCCTGATTTCAGCTCCTCTACTCCAGCAAGGAGTGGCCAGATGGGCAGGGGGCCTGGCCGCGGGCTGGGCTGTGCCCGGCTGCACACAGACACACCAGCGGAGCAGGGACACCCCAGGCATGGCGTCCCACTGCCAGCAAGCAACTGGGCACTGGTCCCCGCTTCCTGAGCATCCCTCTGCTGTAGCCCCTCGTCTGGAGGCCAATGCAGCTGCTCCCTGCGTCCTGCATGCACACACGCACCCGCAGCCCTGACCCGTGGAGCAGAGTCCAGCCAGCCTGGCGCCCGAGCGGGATGCGTTGGGCAACTCTCTGGGAGGTGGACTCTGGCTGGTGGCCCCTGCGGGCAGGACCTGGGCGCTCTCCCGAAGGATGTGCCCAGCTCATCTGCCCCTCCTGGGCAGCCACCGTCCCCTTTCTGGCAGGGCTGCGGTGCCCAGGGGCTCCCACCGCCCGCCTGGCTGGGGCCATGGCTCCGTCCACAGCCTGGCGGGGAGGGGGTGCTTGTCGGTGTCCCTGGGGCGTCCCTTTGGGCTCTGTCCTGCCTGGCCTTGCCTCTGTCCCAAAGTGTCACAGGCTGAGACTGTCCTCGCCACACTGCTCCCGCGGGCCAGCAAATGCCACCGCACAGCTCTGGGTGACGCATCCCTGTCCCCAACAGCACGCGGGTCAGGCAGGGGCAGGCAGTGGTGCCTGGGCACCCATGGCCGGCAGAGGATGCTCTGTGAGCATCCCAGCTCCTCTTCCTCCTCCATCCCAGGGATGAAGCTGAAACTCGTCCCTGGTGCTGCCCGGGCATGGTCCCTGGCACGGAGCCCCAGCCTCCTCAGAGCTGGGGCTGGCAGTGCCAGGGTGGGCGCGGGGCCGCTCTCACCGGGGCTGTCGGGGTTCTCGTCCCTTGGCAGCACCCTCACTCAGTGCCATGGACCGCTCCAGGGGGATTTGGCGCTGCCAGCCCCAGGGCCATCCTCAGGAGGAGTATGCACAGCGGGCGGTGCATACCCAGCCCCTCTCAGGCCATCACAGCCCCCAGCAGACCCCCGTTCCCACCTCAGCCCTCTCTTCCCGCTGAGCCTGAGGTCCCTTCCCCACACAGGTGGGCTCGCTGCTGGCGGGAGGGCCTCGCGTCCAGCCCGCCGGGTGCCATCGGTGCGTCACAGACCGTAATTCACAGCGAGTCCCACTCACAGGTCTCTGCCCATCCTTCAGCCTTTTAACACCTTCAAAGAGTAGGATCACGTTTGCCACATTTATGGGGCAACCACCTGATTTAAGACGCCATCAAATGATTGCTCTACAAATGCCACTCATGTAATAATTACTGTGTGCAACTGCCTCCCTTAAGATCTCATTATAAAGCATTTTTCTTCTGCAGAGGACACTTAGGAGCTGAGGCTATAAAGCGGTTGCAAATCGTATCGTAAAAAGCAGAGATTATTGCAGACAATGGGAGCAGGCCTGGGCAGGCAGGGGTGAGCACGGGTAGGTGCCAGCCCTCGGGGAGGAGCGTTCGCTCCCCTCCCTGTGCCCCACCAAGGGCTGGGCACAGGAGCTTGCAGCCAGGGCTGTCAGGGGCAGGAGCCCAGCTGCGGGCAGGGAGGGTGCACCGGGGCGGTCTGGCCCCCCATGGCCCTGTGCCAGGCTCACGGCACGGCGGCACAGCCTTCTGCTGCCCGCTGAGCTCAGCCCTTTCACCGCAAGGGTGCGAATCCCCCGCGCCAGCTGCTGCCGTCCCCCAAACACCTGCCAGGGCTGAGCGCAGGGAACGCAGCCGGTCATGAGCTGCAGTGGCCGCAAGCAGAAACCTGTGCCTGGGCCAGGTCCTCGGCATCCGTGACAGCCCCGCACGAGCAGCGTGCCTTTCCTTTTGGAGATGACAACGCTTTTTGGCCAAGGACAAGAGCACTTTGAGCCACTGCCCCCTGCTCCCTCCCACCCGAGAGTGCAGAGGGAAGGCGAAATCCAGCTGCCAGCGACGCTCCGGTCTCCCCCTTCCCGTTCCGGAGCATTCTTCCCAATGCACCACCTCCAAGACAGTTCCACTGTCCCAAGTGCAAGGCCAGCACCCGTGGAGGACTGCAGGCCCCCAGGGAGCCCCCCAGCACACGGGGCTCCCGGCTGTGCCAGCCTGCAGGAAAGCTTCTTGGGGTGGGGGGTGCTCGGGGCCAGCCCTGCCCCCCTGGGGCATGGGGGAACCCTCCCTGGTGCACAGAAGTGGGTTCCCATGGACCCGCACGTGGCCATGGCGCAGGACCTGGGTGCCCTTGTCCAGGGACGCCTTCAGTGCATTTCCACAGTGGAGCGAAGGCTGCCCAGAGGAGAGGAGAGAGTCACCACGAAATGAGTCGCTGTGGCTGCCATGCTTCCCCTCCATCCCTCATCTCCTCCAGCTTTTCAAGGTCATTAGGTGGAAGGGATTGGGGAAATGCAAAGTTTTGTTATCCAAATTGCTCTACAGGTGTTTACTCAATGCAGTCTCTCGATGCCACCGTGGCGGGCGGGAGGGAGGAAGGCTGGATGGCAAGTGGGACGGATGGATGGATGGTGGGATAGATGGCAGGCAGGCGTTATCCTGCAGGCACGTGGAAGGGAGCCCGCACGGGCCAGCCGGAGCAGTGCAAGGTGTGCAGGAGTGGTGTGCAGGACCGCAGGTGAAGTCACACTTTTTTGGGTGCCCGTGGTGTGACTCATAAGGGCCGGGGCAGGGAGGGCATTCGTCACCCGCTGAGGTGTGGGAAGGGCAGGGAGGGCGGTGGGAGCCCTGGGGAACCTGCTGCTTGATGCAGTGCCTCTGTTTTAACAAGTTCCGTCCGCGCCCCATCGCTGGCAGGCAGCTGCTGCCAGGCGCAGAAAGATGAACAGGTCAGGCGTTAGCAATGAGAGGTGACGGCGTGGGGAGCGCACGGCAGGCGGGGAGGGCTGGCTGCCTGGCCATCCGGCCCCCCAGGACAGGCTCCCCCGTTCGAAGGGGTTCCTTCCCTGCCAAGCACAGCCTGGCTCCTCCGTAATCCTGGATTAGCATCTCCATCCTCTCTAATCGGGCTGTGGCGTCTTGGGGCTTGAGGTCGACGACAGCTCCGAAGTTGGGCTGATGGTTTCACTGCCGCCATTTCCTTTTCTCTCCCAGCCCGTAGGCTCCCTGTGCCCTCTGTTTGCATATGCACAAAGTCACTTTTAGGGTGAAAAACTAGTTACCTAGGGAAATTTTAAAACTGCAGCACAAGGCTGCAGCGAGGCAGAGGCGGCAGGTTCCATGGCAACAGCACCTCCGCTGAAACTGCCTTTGCTGTCACCTCCCGCGTTTGGGTGTTACACATCCCACCGCGCCTGCAGCACCGCAGCTCGGGGCTGATGGGGGTTCCCGTGCCTGCTTGCAGTGCGCGGGGAAAGGCTGCCTGCGCTGGCAGGGAGCCCGCGCTTGGGCAGCTCATGGGGAGTTTTGGAGCCCCAGCTCCCAAAGGTGCCCGAGCAGCCTCGATAGCACTGCTGGGACATGCCAGCACCTGGCAGCTGCGTCCATGTGCCCTCACAGCCACCTTGGAAGCGCGCAGGGACCCGCCGGGAGTGGTGGGCTGAGGCCATTGTGCCGGGCTGAGCCCCCACTGCCTCCCCTGACCCCCTTCTGTGCCTTGCCCCACAGACGTCCTGGACCGGGAGCTGGAGGAGAAGTGCCGGGCAATGGAGGCCCAGCTGCAGGAGAAGGAGAAGGACAACCTGGAGCTGCGCAAGGAGCTGCGGCACAAGGAGACGCTGGTGGCCGCGCTGCGGTCCAGCCTCCGCAACAAGGAGCGCCGGTTCCTGGAGGAGCTGAAGCGGCGGAGCCACCGCGTCACCATCCTCGACACCGAGCT